CCAGGACCAGGATGGTGCCCAAGACCCCCAGTATGGGGTAGAGATGGTGGCCAGGACTACCAGTATGGGGTAGGGATGGTGGCCAGGACCACCAGTATGGGGTAGGGATGGTGGCCAGGACCAGGATGGTGCCCAAGGCCCCCAGTATGGGGTAGAGATGGTGGCCGGGACCACCAGTATGGGGCAGGGACCAGAACAAGACTGTCACCATGGGGCAGGGACAATGTCAGGAGCCCCAAACTGGGATGGGGACAACTCCAGGACCTCCAGAATGGGGAAAGCACCATGCCAAGACCCCCAACATGGGGTAGGAACCTCACCAAGACCCCCAAAACAGGATGGGGCCAACTCCAGGACCCTCAGCACAGGATGGGGACAACTCCGGGACCTCCAACATGGGGAAGGGACAACTCCATGGGGCAGGGACTGCACCAAAACCCTTCACCCAAGGTGGAGACCTCACCAAGACCCTCCAAACCAGGATGGGGACAGCTCCAGGACCTCCAGCATGGGGAAGGCACCATGCCAAGACCCCCACCATGGGGCAGGAACCTCACCAGGACCCCTCACCCAGGGTGGGGACCTCACCAAGACTCCCCAAAACAGGATGGGGCCAACTCCGGGACCCCCAAACCGGGATGGGGCCAACTCCAGGACCCTCAGCACAACATGGGGCCAACTCCAAGACTCTTGGCCTGGGGCATGGCCAACACCCGACGGCCAGAACCTCCTCAGCGTGTGTGTCCCCCGTCCCCCCTCTCCGAAAAAATAACTGACCGTGACGTGTTCGAAGTCCTGTCCCAGCTCCGGTGAGCCGGCCACCACCTCCTTCTCGGCGATCCAGTGCTCCAGCTCGTCCACCTCGCGGTTGAGCTGGTAGAGCCAATATTGCTGCTCCAACTTGGCCTTGCGTTCCTCCACCAGGTCCTTCAGAGACACGTACAGCCGGTCAACCTGCGACTGCCGCCTGCTGACCTGTTCGCTGGGCAAGGGACACGGCGCCCGGTGAACGCCAAAGACCCCGGTTTTTTAGGGTGGGGGCGGTCAGGAGAAGGCGGGTGACGGAAGGGTTGTCCCCACCTTTGAGGGTGGCCAAGTTCCAGAAGGGCCCGGCATTGGCGGGAGAGTTGGGCGATGGTCTCCTCGTAGTTCTCCACCGTTTGCTCCGTCAGGAGATGCTTCTTGAGGAGTTGGAGGGTGCTCTGCTCGTCCTTGGGGAGGAGCGGGGAAGGACGTTGAGGTGGGGAGATGCTGCACCGGGGCGGGGGGGTCGTCCTTCCCGGCTCTCCCCCACCCCACACCTTCCAACCACCCCCACCGCCGCCAGCACCTTCCCCTTCTCCTCGCTCATCAACAGCAGCTCCTGCTCGCCCAACCACGACTCCACCTCGGCCACGTCGAAGTAGTACTGCTCCAGTTGGTAGGTGGCATCCAAAGTTTGCTGCCGACGCTCCGCCTGCTCCTGCAGTTCCCCCCACATCGTCCCCAAACGCTCCAGAAGACGGCGCACCCCTTCGGCTTCGGGACTTTTGATGGTGGCGACGGCTCCGGCGCGTTCCAACACCTCGTCGATGCGAGGACGGTGGACCTGGATCTCCCGCCGGAGGTTCTGGGAGGAGGTGGAGAGGAGGTTGGAGGTGGGGGAGAAGGTTGGGTGGGTCATCGGTGGCCCCACGGCCGCCTTCGCCCAGGCGGGGGCTGACCTGGTTCTTCTTGATGTACTGCTGGACCGTCTGGAGGTTGGTGCCGTGGTCCTTCAGCGTGGCCAAGGGCAGGCGGTCCTGCACCCACAGCTGGGGACGGGGCGTGGGGTGGACCTCAGGTCATCCCTGTCCCTGATGCTGGCACCGTCCCCATCCCAGTCCCATCCCCACCTCTACCTCCACCTCCATCCCCATCCCATCTCCATCCTTGTCTCCATCTCCATCCCCATCTCCATGATCGCCATCATCCCCATCACCTCCATCTCCACCCTTGTCTCCATCTCCATCTCCATCCCCATCTCCATCATCTCAATGATCTCCATCATCCCCATCATCTCCATCACCTCCATCTTCATCCCATCTCATCCCATCCACACCCATGTCCCCATCCCCACCTCTTGCCTCCACCTCCATCTCCATCGCATCTCCATCATATCCATCCTCATCTCCATCCCATCCCCATCATCTCCATGATCCCCATCATCTCCATCATCTGCATCACCTCCATCTCCATCCCATCCCCACCCACATCCCCATCCCCACCTCTACCTCCACCTCCATCCCCATCCCAACTCCATCCTCATCTCCATCTCCATCCCCATCTCCATCATCTCCATGATCCCCATCCCCATCATCCCCATCACCTCCACCTTCATCCCATCTCCATCATCTCCATCCTCATCTCCATCCCTATCTATCTTCATCATCTCCATGATCCCCATCCTCCCCATCCCCACCATCTCCATCATCTCCATCACCTCCATCTCCATCCCATCCCCACCCATGTCCCCATCCCCACCTCTACCTCCACGTCCATCCCCATCCCATCTCCATCCTCGTCTCTATCTCCATCTCCATCATCTCCATGATGCCCATCATCCCCATCCCCATCATCCCCATCCCCTCCATCCCCATCCCCTCCCGTCCCCGTCCCGGCGCCGCCGCTGACCCCCGTCTCCCGCAGCTGTGGGTGAAGGAGCGCCGAGCCCTCGAAAACCAGCCCCATCACCCCCATCCCCTCCATCCCCATCCCCTCCATCCCCATCCCCTCCATCTCCACCACCTCCATCTCCACCCATGTCCCCATCCCCACCTCTACCTCTACCTCCATCCCCATCTCCATCATCTCCATCTCCATCAACCCCATTTCCATCACCTCCATCCCCTCCATCCCCTCCATCCCACCCCATCCCCATCGCCACGTACTCACCACCTCGTCCTCCAGCTCGTGGCTGACCTGGTGGACCTCCTTGGAGGCCAGGAGGATTCTCCTGCGTTCCTTGAGGGGTTCGAT